AATACATGCGATACTAAGGCTACCATATCCAGTGTTTGGATAAATACTACTAGCAGGATACTTCAACACTACCTGTTAAGAAAGCCGAGATATTGACACCATTGATCTTGTTTGGTCGTGCTAACATTCCGCTTTCGGGCACCAGAAAGTACATATTTCGGCTGGTCAGTGATTGGAATTCGCAGTTCGTGGTTGGATCTGAGAGTCGGAGAGCATAACTAACGAAAGTATGGAAGACGTTCACTATTATCATTGTTACTTAGACTTTTGTTATTAACGTCGTGCTGACACATCAGTGTACGAACATGCTGTAGTCAAATAAACGGATGCATGTATCATCTTTTGTTCATCAACTCGGTTTGGAAGTCGGTGGTAGTTAGCAAGACTGTTACATTCTCTATAAGGATGTGGGTAATCCGACCTCAACACCTCCCCAAATATAATCGAGTGGGATACAAACTTGCAAGGTGCCAAGGTGAATCGAATGTAAACAAAGATGTGAGCATTACGATTTTCGCTAGGAACAGTTTTAGGTCGACTCCTATTCCAGATGTTTATTAATAACCTGTTAGATAAAATTAACTCGTGGGCACTGCTCTACACAGACGAACCAAAGACCTGGAGGTCCACAGGAAGCGAAAAGGATTCATTTGAATTTAAAAGGACCTCAGAAGAACAGAGAAATGGGCAGTAGACAATAGGTTAAAACGTAACCTGTCAGAATGGTATGTCATGAGAGTCTTGCCTCATTTGATATAAAGAATTTTTATCCTCCGAAGGAATTCGTCCTGATTGTCACCTCAGAGCGCGATCTTGGGCTATTAACCACAGAGAGCTTGGATACTAGCTCAAACTGAATGGAGGCTTGAGGCAAGATAGACTCGACCCTTCACTTTATGCGAAGATAACTTGGTGCAGTCAACCCAGCGTTGTTCCTAACTCGTTTTAAAACGCATTCAAGGCCCCACTTCGAAGCCCACAGTGCTGTGGTGCCTCCTCTCTTCAAAAGAGGCAGAAGCTTCTTAGACCAAATGCATAGACAGGCAACCAAGTGGGTGATAGGGTTTGAACATAAATCTAATGAAGACGGACTTCAACACTTGGGTTTATATTTGCTGAGCTACAAGAGGTGATCTGATAATACATTTAGTGAGTCAAGTCAACCGAAGATGAGTATCTTACCAGAACATCACCATGCTCCTCGAAACAACCTTCGAAAGACTGTACATCAAAGATTGAACACCCAGATACGCTCTCACTTCTTCCCATTATTAGTTTCCTCGATTTGGTGTTTTCTATAAGCCAAGGTGGTCACAGCGCGCCAATGAATAGCTTTAAGAGGAGAATAGACTAACACGTACTCACCAGTGAATTAAAACTTCGTTTTTGGACCATTTGTGTCTGATGCATTTCTCACCAATAACCACAGTTGTCATTGATACATAACCGGTAACTACTTTCCATCTTTCTTATTATCATTTCAGTTTACCCCATTATTATGTCAAGTCCGTTTTTTTACACATTAACAATCAACTAAATTTTTTGTTATTCTTGAAACGGTCATCTTATAGAGGTAAATAAACCCCCAGAAGCAGTTTTGTATGTCTTCGAGATTTGATGCCAACTTGATTGGTATTAATGAACACATCTAGTTGAGCGTTCTCGGTGACACATCCACACTAGATCACGAGTGGGTACACTATGCTGTGCAACTCCTACGACCGTTAGCCGACTTTGAATAGTTACTTCTCGAGGTACAGATAACCTTTCAAATATGTCCTTGAACATCTTCATTTCTGACTCGATTTGACTGGGTTGGCATACTCCGATTATAAAAGGTGTTACTGGTTAAAACCCTGTCAAACTCCGAATATTTGCTGCATCATTAGTCTCCTCTTGCAACCCGGATTATCATATTACTTTCGCATTGCAATCAACTAAACTTTCGTTCTGGTAATGCGATAGCTTTCGATATCCAGAAATTCTATTGCCTAGAGACAAATAAACTCAGACTGCATGATAAACAAATCCACAAATAACTGTCGAACTGAATAGAATGAATGCAGTAGAGTAGACTGCTGCCCATTTGATACTGCTGAAATCCCTACTAGAACAAATAGAAGCGAAAGCAAGGGAAACAATCGGTTTATACAAGCTCGTGACAAGAATATTATATATTGGATGTATTGAATGTAATGTGCCGATAAGTCAATTTTTTGCGATATACTCACCTCCACATTCATAGCAAAGCCTTCGAATATTCAGAATCACCACACTAGAATTCGTTGAGGACAAAGGTGTTTTTAATAAATGTTAGTAGTCTATCCACAAAATCAGTCAGTTTATATGATTTCCTGATAACGACATTGGGTGCTTGGATTACTTACGATGATGCCTGGGGAAACATTAAGTGCACAACCAAGAGTGTATCGATCTTGATGAATTCATATGGTGCTTAGTAAGATTGTCTATCAACTCCAGGTGTCTAGTCGGGGTCATCCACATGAAGCCCATTGCTGACATTGAGTACGACAATCGTATGCTGGAAGAATTAACCCTCTCTACGTGTCTCGAATACACTCATATCCTGATTCTTGGGGACTTCAATCATCCCGAAGTCAATTTCGCGGAACATACGTATATTGGAGGTGACAACCCTATTGAAGCCCGGTTTTTCAACCTCATTGATGATCTAGTATTATTCGAAAATGTGAAGTCGATAACTCGTTGTAGAAGCAGTCGGACGCCGTGGCGTTTATACTGGGTATTTACAAGTGACGAATTCGTAGTTGACAACCTCCCAATTCTGGCTCCTCTGGGGAGAAGTCATGCCGTCATAGCCTTCATTTTTTGGCCAAAGTGAGCCAAGACATCCCACCAACAACAGGTGCTGGAATTTCAAACGGTTGGATGTGTCAGCTTTACAGGAATAACTACAACAGGTGGATTGGGATGTTCGCCTTCAAATATACACGCTCTTATTTGCTACAAAGCAGTCTGTTCTTCAAATGGTTTACAAGCAACATACAGTCATGAGGAACCACACTGTTCGTTTGCTAAGTTTCAAATAACGCTGTTGGACATAATACAAATGGACTGATGACAACGGCGCGTACATGCAATACAAAAAAATATAAAGAACATATGCACAAAGGCAGTAAGAGAAGATAGGTTTCAGTACCAGATTAAGCTCATCCATAAGTTTTTCTGCAATCCGAGAAGCTTATTCGTTATGCTGCTTCCCTCCGATAAGCCAAAACTGGAGTTTCCCAACTGTTAGGTCCTAATGGTCCGACCAGTAATGACGGTGACGCCGCTAATCTTTTGGCTGGATAATACTCTCGGACATTTCGACTGACCCACATTAACTATACTGAAGAAAGCTTCATCTACAACTCCACAGGACTTTACGAAGTAAAGCTGAGAGCTGATTTGATGTACCGGAAACCGCAGAACCTAAGAAAAGACACTTCTTCTGGCCCGGATATGGTCCATTCTGCTATACTGAGGGGAGCAGCTTCAATCCTGGCAACACTGCTTAGCGTGATATTCTCACACTTGTTAAGCTGAGGCAAACTACCGGAATTTGGGAAGCTGGCTCGCATACCACCAATTTTCTAAGGAGGTCAACGCATCGAACCTCTAATTTACCGACCAGTGGCTCTTCCCTCTATACCTTCAAAAGTCATGGAGTACCTGATATATGACGGTATACACGACTATTTATTATCCTTAAACTTCTTTTCATCCCAGCAGAATGGTTTCAGAAAGGGTAATTCTTGCACAACCAACTTTCTGACTGTGGTAGACAGATGAACAAACATCCTTGATCGCATAGGGAAGGTTGACATCATTCACTCTAACTTCTTAAAAGCTAGTGATAGAGTCAACCATGTATGTCTTATCAATAAGCTCAAAGGATTAAACATCAAACCACCATTGATTAACTGGCTCACTTCATATATAAACAGTCGACATTTTAAGGTCAGGGTTAACTTCACTTTGTTTCAGGCTATGAAATGTCTAAGTGGGGTCCCCCATGGTTAAGTACTAGGACCTTTTCTCTTCTTGATCTACATAAACGACCCACAACATGTGTCTTCTGACTTATTACATTTTGCTGACGATGTGAAAATTAAGACAGAGATGCGCGATCAAGAGGATCTGACTTCAAAGTTGGGCAGATGACAACAGACCTGCGTTCAACACTTCAAAGTGTATAGTAGTTTACCTGAGACATGTTTCAAACTACAGATACAACTCAGGAAACTCCTTTCCAGAAGTATCTCAAGTTGAGCGCTGGTACCCTACGATTCGAAGTCTTACTCTAACAGTGACAAAAATGCCTTTCAAGCAAACCTTGCACTGGTAACATTGAAGGGCATTTTTGGTCAGTTTGACGGTAGAACTTTCCACATAATCTTCAACCGTTTTATTCGTCCCCAATTAGAGTACGGAAACATAGTATTTATCCCCTCACTCCAAAATGATAAGGACACTGGAACTTATCCAATCGCAAGCTACGAAATCAGTTCGAAGACTAAAATTCAAACCTTATGAAGAGCGCCTCCAGTCACTAAACCTTTACTCATTAGTGCATAGGCGACTTAGAGGTGACCTTCTAATGGCTAACAGTATCTTTAACACTTCTGGACATTTTAAATACTTACTTAAGTTTAGCTCAAACACAAACCTAAGTGCTAACACCCAGAAACTAGAGACGCAACACAGCAGAACGGACTGTAGACACAACTTCTACTCCTTAAGAGTTGTCAAATGCTGGAATTCGCTGCCGATTGAGCTAGTCCAAGCGACTTCCCAGGAGTCCTTCAAGAGGCAATTCGACCTATTCGTAAGGACTAAGGATTATATGTTACTATGATTTACCAATTTCTTTTCCCTCTATTATCGTTAATATACCTAGGTTTCTGTCTGGAGGTATTGGTGATCCATTGCTACTAGACACAGAAGCCCGTTAAGCGAAAGCTTCTTCTATTTTGTCCACAACCATTTGAACCATTTGACGCATTTACATAGGTTGGTTTGAAGAGTGCGTTACAAAGCTGGTTTGTTGTTGGATACTTCACACGTGCATGGCTGCTGTATGCCATCCCTGGGTATTATTTCTTTTTACGGTGACGGCTTTCGTAATCATGCGCTAAAGGTTGGTGTCGATGGCTTTTCGCTTGAAAATTTAAGCATGGCAGCACAAAATGATGAAAACGCTCCTCTTTTAGGAGATGTTAGTGATAACTTTTCTCCTGATACATATTCACCGCTTGTAAATGATATACATAATGACTCAGACTTCAACAATGTTTTACAAAGTGCTCTTCAAGCTATCGAGTCTGGAATATTGCCCGAGAGAATTTATCAAGGGTCAAGTGGAAGTTACTTTGTTAAGAATGCAAATGGAGTATGTTCATTGTTAAAAGTCTTGTTTTTCTCCTTAACCTAATGTTTAAATTTCCTTAACTTGAGGCAAGATTTTTGGAACAAATATGGTCTTTCTGTTGCATTTGCTGAATAAGCAGACATTACATTGAGTGCAAATATTAGATGTCATACAATGGTTCCCTTATTATTTATTTATTTAAACACATAAATATTGGTACAAGGAAGCACCAGATAAATATGCGCCTCACAAATCTCATTCGATTTGTGTGAGGGCTGTGACACTGCTCAGGTGCCCAAACTGAAGCAGGTATAATGGTTTCCTAGTGACAAAAGTGTAGTATAATCTGTCCCAAGTGATGCAGATAATTTTATTCTTGCATTTGCGGGGGAGATTTTATTTTTTCCAATTTCCCTGTGATTCTAGGTATCTTATTAGACTTAGTAGCTCACAGTTGTGGTTGTTTGTTAAACGCCCCCAAATGCCCTGGTATGGTCGAGAGTAGGGAGAGTCTGCTCTCCCTCTCGAAATGCTCTCACATGGCCACGCGTAGATAGCCTCTGCTAGGGATGTTCTACTCACTGCTTTCTTGTGGCGGCGGTGTTATTTACGAAATTGAGAGGACGAAAAGCGAATGTCCGGCGCTTTAACCGGGTTGGTAGACACGGAAAGTCCACCTAGGGGAGTTGGAAAACCCTGATTCCAAACCAATGGTGCACGTGGGCTCCAGTATCCTGAAGAAACAAATGGCGTATGAACCAATTGTTGGTCACCGGCTACCATGGGACTGCATCTCCTTACAATGCTCCACTGCCTTGTGGATCAGACCTTTAGGCCAAAGGCTCCGGGTGCGGTCCCCTAGGAAAACCACCTGCTTCAGTTTGGGCACCTGGGCAGTATTACAGCCCTCACACAAATCAAATGAGATTTGTGCGGCGCATATGTATCTGGTGCTTCCTTGTACCAGTATTTATGTGTTTAAATAAAACAAATAAATAATTGTTTGTTATACCCCTCTTTATTGCTTTATGGTAGCAGTTTTTACTTTAAGCACATCGTGGTTTTGAATATAAAAGGTAGGTACGCAGTTTCGGGTTCAGGATTTCAACTCAAATTCTGGAAGGAGGATACATTTTCATTGTTTATTTATTGTTTATGTATCATGAGATACTTTTAATGAGATCGATTGTCTCTTGAAAAATAGAAATAGTAAGTAGTCAGTGCCTCGCTCGTAAAACTAATCAATGCGGCATGTTAGGTGTTGCTGTTGTGCTCTATTCTATCCTCCTTATTATCTTCTTAGCTTCGGCAGTGGTTGGATATTCCACCCATGTTGCTCCAGGGCAGTAAATGGAGTACTATTTCAGGTTCCTCGAAGTGTTACACAAAGTGATCCATCAACTTTATTTAGTACGTGATCAGTGACCCATGTTCTTTGCTAATAGTTTTCAGACGTAAGGGTTATGCCTTTCATTGTGGTTAGTAGTTTGAGTTAAAGAAACGGAAAAAATACTTGTTACGTTCAGCCGTTACTAAATTTTTCCAGGCGTATTAATCTGAAACAGAATGTTTTAAGGTGTTTTACATTGCTAGGTAAGGAATTTTGCATATTTTTACTTGATGACATTCCCATTAGGAATATGTATGTCTTCATTAATTACAAGATGAAGTAAAGTAAATTTACCCACTTACTCAGGCGTTAGTTCTTACTCTTCGGATAAGAGATGTAATCAAGGTTCTAAAAATTGTAGCCCACTGTTATTTTACATACATCCATCTAATATTTAGTCTACATTTTACGTTCGTTACCAACAAATTATTTGAGAACGCACATTTTTTAGGAGAAAATTGCAGTATTCAAACCGAAGGATGAAGAGCCCTATGGGAAGCTTAATCCAAAATGGACCAAATGGATGCATAAACACTGCTGCCCTTGCTGTTTTGGTCGATCATGTTTGGTTCCGAATCAAGGTTACCTTTCAGAGGCTGGTGCCAGTCTTGTAGATCAGAGACTACGGCTCAATATTGTTCCTTCAACAAGAGTTGGTTTTCGTTTGCTAATTTTTCATAATTGTATTTTTTTTTCCTGGTTGTAGTTAACAGGATGTAATTTTAGATAGTTTCTATGCATTATATGAAACTGTATTTCTAGTCAGTCAGTCACAACGTACAATCTGGTATGTATTTACATCGGTTCAAGTTGCCATACCCCATAAGCACAGAGAGATAGAACTGTGAGGCCAGGTCTCGGAATAGTAGATGTAGTAATAGTATCGGTGGTAGTAGGAAACAGTAGAAATACATTCGGAGAAAAAAACATACGTTACTGAAATAAAAGCACACAAACAGTTGCGAAGAATTTAGAATCTCAGAATTTGGCGAAAGATAAGAAACGGATGTACCCGCTCCATCGCAAAAGATTTTGAGCGATCTCATTCAGAGTCTCCAATAATTGGTCATGGTAATCTCACAGACCCCAACCAGGTAATCTACACCTATTGAGATGGCTAAGTTGAATGGTCAGTGACTTTATGAACTGATGCCATGTTTTGGTATTCGAGGATATTGATGTCTGACTGATATTGATGTCTAGGATTCTAATTCAGCATTAGCCATTTATTTCTGTTGTGAAGTATTTTTTTACCAAGATGCTAGACTGTGGTAACTTTTTTAAGTTAAGAAGATATTATTTGGCTTCATATCTTGACATTCTTAATTTCTTTATAGTACCAGATTAATTACTTTTCAACTGGATTCCATCATGTGTAAAATTTTTGATAACACCTAGTTCGTAGCTCTATTTCCTTTTGTTTTAGGTTGTTCGTTTAGTAAGCGAAAGTTTCAACTACAGCACAGTTGATCGCGCAAAATCTAGGACTAAACAACACTTTGCTTCACGGTTCCCCGAGTTAGGCCGTCATTTCAACCGTCTTGGGCTTCCTCCAAAAGTAAGTTTCTCTTGACACATCAAAATGAATATGTTACACTATGTTTGATTCGCATAATATATATTTAGCTTCAACTATCTATATGCATGCTTTTTTGAGTTTTGCTTTTATTGTAGCTGTATGGGAAATTATTACTTCCAAAATCTAATCTTTTGATACATATGATGTTATTAATTGTTATCACTTGAACTAAGATTTAGTGTCGCGCTTTAAGTGTGATGGATTGCTGTTTTTGTTACATGATTCTTCACGTTTTATCGTATCAGGGGCAGCAAAATGAAGTGAAACAACCCTTGTTTTCTTAAAAATTGTGATTTCTAATAACTTACGGGTTTGCACCTATGAACAAGTACAATCAACAAGAAGTATCTGGAGATAACTAATGAGAAAATAGAATAAACTTGGTTACTTTTAATATCTAGGTTTTATTTCAAATAACTCACCAGACTTTTCTAGCTGAGTTCGTGAATCCTTCAGATTTATATTCTCTCTTTTCATTTCGAAAATAAAACTATTTCACTTACCGTCTTGTTATCCTGTAGTGGATCAATATAATCATTTAAATTTAACTCTTTATACATTGAAGTCACAGGAACTTCGTCATCAATTTTAGTGTAGCCGTCAGCTGTTTGGTTGCAGAACATTGGTTTTTCGATTATGTTACTCATTACGTTTTAAACTTTTGTTCCATATGCTCAAATTTTCTTATGAATTATAACTTCTTGAATATGGACATATTTGTCAGAATTCAAGTATTTACTAGAATTTAGTTTGGATTTTTAGTGGTAGTTGTGTGTCAGTTGTATATTTTGTCTATTTATACCTTGTTCATATTGTGGGAAATCATTCATCCTCAAACAGTCATGTTTTTGATAATTCTTATGTAAAGGTTTAACGGACATTTGACTGAAGCCAAACAACAGGTACCTGTGATGTACATGATTTCTGTTTCTGCCTGTCCGTAAAACATTCAATTGAAAATTGAGTTAGCTACTTGTAAGTGCGGTAAATGTTCACTACCAGAAATAAATCAACTTGTTTTCCAGGACAATTTATGGACTATCAGTATTTGCTATCATCTTGGTCGTAGATTTCAGATTTTTAATTTTAGACTGTCTTTGATAAAATTAGGCAAAAGCTTACTTTAACCCTTAGGAATAAATAATGTTCATCGTTTATTAGTTAAGTTCCCTGCCACCACATTGTTATTGTTAGGATCTCTCTTATTACAACCCATCTATTCTTATTGCTTAGTATTCATCATACACTACTTCACTCAACTAGTCCCCAAATCAGAACACGATTTAACAGGGACGTAATTATATTCCAAATAAACAAGGCTAAGTGGGAGCAAGATTTACAGTAAGAAAAACGCTAGTGTATTTATAATTTTACGCGAAAAGATCCTCAAGTCTTCTCCAATTATTCTCTAGCACGGATTGGGTAAGAAATGGCTAATCAGCGTATTATATTTATTATTTATTTGAACACATATTGGTACAAGGGGGCACATAATAACAATGAAGTTTTAAAGAGATAGAGAATGTAAAGCGCGTATAACAAAAAAGAACAAGGGACAGAAATTAGTGTGTGAGAGTGAAATAATAATAATGGGAGAAGTAGTTCAATTAGGAAAAATACAACCAGAAAGAATTCTTTCAGTTAGAGAAATTACTTTCGCTTTTAGGATGAAAGTGAACGTTACAGCAATATTTCCACTGGCTTCTATTCTGAAGCCATGTCTGACAACATGTGTTGCAATCCTTCGGAAGCAGCTATGATCAAACACAGAGAATCATCTGACATCGTCAACTCGGGGAGACCAGGTTTCACAAGTATAGAGCAAGACTGCTCTCACCAACGCGTTGTAGATCCGACCTTTTACAGACAGACCAACATCACGAAGGCTCCAGTGATGGTCCAGATTGGCATAGGCCGCTCTGGCTTTTATTTTACGCGATTTGATCTCATCACTCACACCACCATCAACACTTATGCGGCTACCTGGATACACGAACTTCTCGACTACTTCTATCTGCTCGCCACCCAGGGTGAGTACAGGAACAGTGTCCTGCTAGTCTTGTGGGAGTACTTTGCACTTGAAAGGTGCAAAGTTCATGTCATACCTACAGACACCGATTGTCAACTGATTAAGTGCGCATTGCATGGCTTGGGTATCATCGCACAGTAAGACAATATCATCCATATACTCAAGGTCGAAAAGTCTTCCTCCAGGAAACAGATCCACAACACCACTACCTACATCCATCAGAGCTGTTTCCATAACGTCATCGATAGCAAAGTTAAAGAGGAATGGTTAGATTGGGCAACCCTGCCTAATCCCACTGTTTGAATGGAACAGTGGAGAGAGGTAGTTGTATGCCCTCACTCTTCCTGAGGTGTTTGTATATAGGGCTTTTAATATGTTAATAAACTTCTCAGGTACACCCTTCCTAGAGAACAGTCTTGTCCAACAAATCGAAGGCGGCTCTAATATCAAGAAACACTACCATTGTGATAAGTATGACGATATCATAACATTTGGTGGAGGGTGAAAATATAATCAATATATCCCCGACCAGAACGAGAACCAATCTGCTTCTCCAGAGTTTATTTTTCTCGAGTTCTTAACAATCTATGAAGTATGATGGAAGCCAATAGTTTGAACGCAATCGGAAGTAGACTTATCACCCATAGATGCTACAGAAATAACGTGAACCTTTTCTAAAGATGGGAACAACTATCGACTCACTCCATGATGTTGGAGCACTCTCTAATTGCCAGATGTTTGTAAACAACTTAGCCAGTTCCATAACCAGAAGGTCGCCATTACCTTTAAAAAGGGCTGAAGGTAAGTCACCTGGGTCTGCTGATTCGTGGCTTGCTCCAACACAATCGTGCACGGAATGTGATTTAATCCAATCTATATCCAGCTAACAATTATATACACATTAACTATTTCCATATATATTCGACGACTAATATGGACCGGTGACTAAGTTAACGAGTGTATTGACTGGGAAAGTAAAGTGAGTGCATAGTAAGGACTTAACTTGTGAGATAATAGTGATGATACCTATTCACTTTTAAGGGCTTGTTTGAGTTAATATACTAACAGGCACTTGCGAAGCCATTCATTTAAAAGCTATTCGGTCAATTAATTTATTCTAATTTTTTAGTGTCAATAGTAGTGCTTCGTGGATAGTTTTTGATATACTGTGAGCCAATAGTGTTAATTTGTCTTATATATTTATATGGGGATGTTTGACCATTTCCTTCTGTTTGACTGATCATAATATCATAATTTAAACAAAGTGGTTCTTCTTTTTAAATGGGTTTTAATCAGTGCTTTTATGACCTGATTTTATTGCAAACAATAATACATTTTGTTTGCATTCACATATTTTAATTGCCATTAAAAGTAATGACGTCGTGAGAGTTTACCTTTGTTACACTGAATAAGTTGTGTTTGTTTCTAAATGTGTAGACTGATTATTTAGATGTCAATTTGTATGTAAATTTGACGAATTCCGTCTAGTAAACTGAGTATGTTTGAGTTATTGTTTCTCTTGTGTATACACGAATTTTGTGGACTATAGAGCCGTGAACTCAAATTGATTTTTATTCTTGTATGTGTGTTTGAATATCTTAATAGAACAAACATCTAGCAGGTGGTTTCTGTCTTCCACTTTTCTCATTCTGACTTGTCATTCATTTTTATTTGTCTATGATGTAAAGTTTGTTGTTTACATTGATAATGTACATATCTAGCAGCTATTTTTTTATGTACGTACATCTACTTTTGAATAAACGTTTCTATATGCATGTGCAACACCTTAAAAGTATTTCCTCCATATTTACGTAGTTTAGAAAATCAAAGAGCCATTTGTCAGAAGGTTACTAGTTAGGAATTAATCGTTGGAAAACAGTAATTATTGGCTAGTAAATATTTTTTAGTAGATATTAAGGGGAATTGCGTTGCTTCTAACTATTTTAGTAGGATTATTCAAATTCTGTTGCTTCATTTTTACTATTAGACATTTACTTTTTTCATCAGATCGGATCTTTCCAGCTTTTTGTTTCTGGTTGTCGAGATGCTGACTATTGGCTTCGTCATTTCGATAATGAATCACTTCCTAAGCCTACAGCTTCAGAATTCCGATTTCAGTTTGAAAAACTTGTTATACTTGATTATCTTATTCGGAATACAGGTATACAATAATCACGTCAGTTTTTATTTTGACAAGATGTTTTTGTTAATTAAATTTATTCCTCTTTCTAATCCTTATTGTTCAATCTTTAATCTTGTCCACATTCATTGATAGTACTATTATTTCAGCTCCCTTGTTGTTCATCATGTTTCTTTTATCTCGCTCTAGAGATATAATATGGCGACTTGGGCTAACATACTTATACCGAATTATTTGACTGACCGATTGACTGGATTTCAACTTAAGTTTATGTATGACTTCTAAGGTTGTAGTAATACCTAAAAAGCATGCACAGAAGTTCTATTCCTTAATACTTTTACATTCGGTTGTCGTCTCCAATAACCAGTCCACAGCTTTTTCCCAGTAACTTGGAGGATATTAATTGGTTAGTAAGAAACTGGTTCTTTTTATACATTAAGATTTTGTCGTACTCAGTCGAAGTTTAATGGATGACTTTAAGGTTTCATCTAGAGTTTTCGTCGAATAAAATCCGAAAGGTTTTCAAAAGAATGCTTTTGATATAAGGTTGTCTGAAAAGCTGAATCCCACTCAGATTGTTACGTATTGCTTACATACCATTTCCAGGTAAGATCTCATTGACCGATATGACAAGTCAATTCAATTTGTTTTCTGAATGTTTGAAGATCCAGTAGCTAGCTTTTATGGAATTGAAGTTGTTGGATTAGCATTAAGTAACTAGGTGGCAATTGCACTTTGATTAGATCCTAGTTAATATACATTTATGCACTGTTCCATCCATGAGTCTACTAACTAAAATCTAGGTTATTTCAAGGATAATTGTTGCTAAAAGAGTATATTCTTGCTTCAAAAAGTTAGACTATGCAAATGTTATATTATTAGTACGCGAATCCGATACATTACTATAGCAGATTAGCTGATTAATTCAGGAAAACATCTGGAGAACGTCTTCAGCATTCGATCCTGATGAATCAGTAGTAGTTTTCACATTTTTCAATGACTTGTTCCAAGTCAGTACTAAATTTAGATATGGGAAAAGCCATTATTTGAATTGACAACTGTTGTTTAGGGTCAAAAACAGTACATCAATATGCTTGATAAATAATTTTGTGTTTCCTTTAGAGTACATATAAATTGATGAAATTTTTTGGTAAAAATCACTTTTTCCGGTGAAAATTTCGTATTCTCCTTTGTCATCTGATTTAGTTCATATGCAATAGAGTTCAGAAACTTGTTCAAATGATTTTCGAAACACTATTAATTCGATATGTAGTTCTGAGTGGTTCGGAAAGTTAATGATAGAAAATACATGGTGATTTTATTTTCTTGCGGCGTCAGATTTTACAAGCTATATAACATACTATGCACTTTGGTGTACCAGGTATTAGTACAACCGTAAACGAGTTTCAAAAATCAACCAATCATTTTTAACTACCCAACAACACATGCACTATCATGCTGAGGTTCAATTTACTGTTTGATAAATTATGGTACTCATATTAAGGCTGCAGTTGTGTATTGTATAACTGTATGAGTGCGTTATATGTTTATAGATGGTGTGCGTAAGGAATGTTTATTTCGTATTCTTGGCTGGGTTAAAAATAAATAAAATCTTATCTAGTTACTCTTTTTTAGATCGTGGGAATGATAATTGGCTTATTCGTTATCAAAGTTCAGAACTGAAGGAAGATACAGATGAGGTGAATTCATTGTAGCTTGAGGTTCATTTCTTATTTACGGATTATAAGCAATGGAATTTATACTATATGATAGTTTAAATTCACTTGGTGTTGTTTATTTGTATCTTCCCATTGTTATTTAGGACTGCAATTGATCAGTTTGGATTCCACGGTTTGCCACTATCCATCTTCGCTTATAAAGCTTGTGACTTCAGGCATTATCGAGGCAGTCCATGCAGGATGCACATATGCCAACAAGAGACTCATCAATTGCAGTCCTAAATAACAATGAGAAGATACAAGTAAACAACACCAAGTGAATTTAAACTTCACCCCGTCGCACAAGCAGGTGGGTATCAGGACTCAGTAGCTAAGTGAATAACACGATGACGTTTGAAGCGAACGGTACTAGGTTCGAGTCCCAGAGTGAACATCAACTCTGGGATGCAGGTACATCCAACTGACGAGTCCCGAATGGAACGAAACGCGCATCCTGAATTCCACTGCTAGCCAATATCCACCTTTGTTTATAAAGATTGTGACTATCTTATAGTTTGTTTTATGTTTATTTGTGAAAAAAATTCATCCTGTCTTTCAAGGTGGTTGCCATAATTTTTAAGCATTAGGGTGTTCTCTTAAGTCTGACTTTCGCCTCACGTTATACGCTGTGTTTAATCTTGGAATCTTCACTTATGCTAGTGATTAGTTGTTCCTATTACTTCTTGTTCTTTATCATCTATCTTCAAAGAGAGTTTTCCGGTTACATTCATTCCACTTTACATATATCATTTTAAGCAGATAAATGATATTTATTAAAAGTTGAAATCATGAGTCAATTAAAGCTAGACCACCATCGAAAACCTGGAAGCACTGGACGGCCGTTTCGTCCTATTATGGGACTCTTCAGCAGTGCGCATCCACGAACCCGCTCTCGCGTGATTCGAACCCAGGACCCACCAGTCTCGAGCCGATCAGTTGAAGTTAGACATTAACACTGTTGGATGCCAGCTCAGTGGTCTATCGGTTAAGGGCTTTGGCTCGAGACTTGTAGGTCTTGGGTTCGAATCTCGCGAGAGCGGGTTCGTGGATGCGCACTGCTGAGGAGTCCCATAATAGGACGAAACGGCCGTCCAGTGCTTCCAGGTTTTCGATGGTTGTCTAGCTTCAATTGACTCATGATTTCAACTTTGAAAAATACTGAAATCTCCACAAATCCCCTTCTGATATTTATTCAGTTGTATATTAACTGGCTTAAAACCAGTTATACGAGTCTATACCTAGTTATTGATAGCTGTATGACTGCGAATACTACTTATTGCACGGTTAATAAATTTTCTCTAATCATAAATTACATTTCACTCTTTTGATTTAGACCAATAAGGATGATTGGGGTGTTGTTGATATGCCAAAAATAGAATTATTCGCAATCGATAACGGTTTGTCTTTCCCGTTCAAACACCCAGATGAATGGAGAGCATGTAAGTTCAACCTAGATGTTTTCGCAATTGATGGTTAGTGTTTTAATTGGTATATGGTGTGGATATATTTGATATTCGATTAGAATTTTACTTTTCAGTTGAATTTAAGGAATTTTACTCTTATTCATTTCATTATTAGTGTGTATATGAATTGGGTTCATACCCCAAGAAAAACAAAATGAATTGTGGCAAGCCAATTAAACTATTGTTTTTTTTGTGTGCTCTCTGTAATCTTAACATTAATCCACTTTGTAAATTTAGTGTGAGTCTGATTGAGCGCGTGTGTCTGCACATCAATCCTTATTCTGTTCTCTCATTGGTTGTGAACGAAGACAATCAATAATTTGTCCACAATCCATTAGCGCTCAAAAATATATATGGATTTTTAACACACATACTTGTTTTCCCGATGTGCTTGCTATCTGTACGCTTGTGGATTTTTACCGAGCTTCAACAATAAACTATCTCTACAACTGGTGTTCAGGCTTTTGAATAATCTCGAGTAAACCCGTAATTCTACTAGGAGATTTAGCCTGCAGTAAATAATCAGTTAGCGGGATATTATTTATTTATTGGAGTCAGATATAGAGGAATTAATCCTCAACAGAATAAACCCCTTAGAAAATAAAGTTTTCAAATTTTTTTTTATATAGTGAACAGCTAATTCCTGCTAACCGCTTTTTCAATACTAAATTAGGGTCTGATCTAACACAACTATCCTCTGTACTATGAAATTATGTCATAGACTAACGACTTCAATCCTTTGGATCCGTTCAGACGGGGGCACACGCTGGTTAGTAGGATAACCATTGAAGCGACTGACCTAAAACTTGTTTAAACTACATAAGCCAAAGCTTATAGAATTACTTGATGCTGCTACCCGAGTAAAGCTGGTAATTTCAGGGGGACAGTGGTGATTAGGCACAGTAAGCCGTTGAACACAATGAGCTTGGTATTGATAAGTTTGTTAGACGTAATAGAAAACTTTTGATCAAATGGTTGTATATCCAAAGTTCTACGGCTAGACTAACGTCTCAACTGTGTTAACGATGATTCAGATTGACAAATATAGCTCTAGCTTTGATTTAATGAGAATTGATTGTATATTTTATTCCACCAAGTCTAACAGGGATACGTAGATATACAAAGTTGTAAGTATTCCTAACTTCCCACCATCAAATGAGAGAGAAGCTATAGGCTCCTATCATTCCTGTACAAGTGTATTTCTTTTCGATGATACAAGATTGATGTTACGCTTGCTGAAAATAATTACTCACTGAGTAAGTACGACTAAACTAACCTTTACAGTACAATGTAGCAGAAAGATGTAGTTTTTATACTAGAAGTCTTTTTTTAATATTTATGTCTCCAGAATGCCCATGTATGACGAAAATATAGATGAGTGTATGACATGTCGTGGTATGAAAGAAAGCTGCAAAGGGCTGGTTTCTGTTGGTCCTTCACGACTCCCTGGCTGGGGTCCAAGAGATGGTGTTAGATACGCTATCGGATATGGCTCAGAATAAAAGCCAGTGACAATCCTGCTGTAATCTTCTTTTACTTTCTTCATAAAGAGCGGTCATAACCTCCTTAACTGAAAGAGTTCTTGGTTGTACATTTCAGTTTCCCCCATCATTACTCGTTTTTTAATTATATGCATCTTTCCCCTTTTCTCTTCCCATTCTCATTGTTTTGTGTGGCGCATATATATCTGGTGCCCCCTTGTAACAATATTTATGTGTTTAAATAAATAAAATAAATGAAAAGGAAGCAAATAGAGCGAAGAAATTTCTTTTCAATTAGTTTTTCATCATATATATATATATATATATATATATATATATATATATTAGTGTAGAGCCATGATGAAAAACTAATTGAGAGGAAATTTCTTCGCTCTGTTCGTTTCCTTTTCATTTATCAAATGTCAAAATGGGAATTTTCACTTTATTAAAATAAATGAGTTCCAAAATTCTGTAATATGTCGTAAATCCATTGCTAGTTCAAAACGATATCGAGAAGTTACTGGAGTTTTTGGTTCTACGTGAAATATTTGAGTATGGAACGTCCAAACAAACTTTTATCTAACAAACAGTTAAACACTTCAGTTCTATTTAGCGAATTGGAGGGTTCTCTAATGTCAAAACAAAAAACTGTCAGGGAATCAGTTTTTCCTACATTTTCCAATATCACATTTAAAAAGTGCCAAAAATGATTCGTCTTCATAGTGTTGTACAGCGCCTTATCCATTGTTTATTACAGTTTCTTTTAAAATTTATCTTAACGGTTACGTTTTTGGGTTTTTCTAAACTCTTCCAACCCTGACGTCTATCGTTCAGAAGAGATATTTGATTGGATGTTGGATTATCCCAAATTTTCATAGGTAGCATAATTTGTTAGTCGGATTGTAATGGATTCGTCCGATCAATAAACTAATTGATTAGAGTTCACGGACATTTTTATGCAAAAGTTGTTACTGGTTTGAAAAAAAGTTATCAGAGACTACTAAACACATAGTATCACTAGTTTCATGACCAAATGCATACTGAAGGTTGGTTAATTAATATTCCTCGTTAATTATTTTTCTAGTAATTACTACTTGGATTCATCCTATGAATCCGAAATCAGGTCTGAAACACTCCCATTCTCTGAGCAATGATGCCATGAATCATTGTTGTACTCAAGTTTTCCTATTTTATCCATATAAATATAATGTAAAAGATCGTCCTACTGTATTATTTTTAAATGCAGATCCTTTTTATTGGGCTTGGCTTCCTATGGCTAAAGAGCCATTTTCGGATGCAATCAAAGAAGCTGTTCTTCCATTATTATCTGACATGCACTTCATCAATAGTCTAGTTCGTGATCTTCATAATTTGTTCAAAGTAAGTTATTTTATTCTCTATGAGATTTATTGATTCATAATCATTTTCATAGATTTATTGACATAAACGTTTTTTGCAATTAATCAGTTTACATTGACGATATGTAGTGGGTGATAGTAGGTACACTTAAGTCATCTGACATTAATAAGTTGATTTTTTTCCATTTCTTCTATTTTAAGAATATTTATTTGTCAGTACAGAATTTAGAATATATTTTCATTTAAAAAGATCTTGGGGGGGTTGGTCAAAACTTTTTCAGTAATATGTTTTAAAGGTTTTACTCTGTTTATTGTTTTCTGAATAAATGGGCATCTCTGCTTATTAGTGTATGCTAGATATGAGTTAGTAATAATCAGGTGCTTTTTTGAAAGTACTAATACGATTAAATTGAATGCACATACACTCACCTGGTCTAATGCTATTACAGTAGGAGAAATGGATGTTTTTCATTTGTTTAAGGCCTCTCTTTTCTTAGAAAAAAGTCTTGTAGTTTTACAATCAATAGTTTTGTAATGTGTCCTCAGGAAAAACAATCTTGATTACTGTTTGTTCACGATTATAGTGTTGCATAAAATTTTTGGGTTTTTCAGTTCATAATATGAAGTGATGATTTAAGAAAACTTTACAAAACACTTGTTTACTCTTTTGACAACTAGTCAAGTATTAGGGAAAGATTGACTTTGTTAACTTAATAGTACACTATTTGTACTGTGTTGGTGCTTAGAGAATGTAACAACTTTGTTGGAATATTACTAAATTTGTTCAGATTTAGTATAAAGTAGTTAAAAAGCAGTTGAGTTTATCCCTGATACGCTTAGTGTCTTTCTTCTTCTCCATATTAATCTAATTTACGGTTCCAATTATGCAAATTATCTTAAGGAGTGGAATATATACTGTTATGTTCTTTTTTTTCGCAAAATTTCCGTCGCCAATTGTTATGTTGTTATGGCCTATTAACTATCAAGTGATACGGTCGCCAATTAAAACACCGACTTACTGACCGGACCAATGACGCATAAACCAGTACGAACAGTCCAGAGTCAACTCTGAGTTCTTATTGGTCCATCGAGATAGTAGCTTCTGGCCTAACTCATCTGGTTTGGTCTAGAACATTGATATCAGCCTCCGCTATACGAATCACATATTTTAGACATAATTGGTTTATATAGAAACAAACCAGACCACATCATACCACAAAATAGAAAATAACAATTATCCAAGATCAGTACGAAAAGTAGCTGTGATTGTGAGATACTGTAACTAATAAATTGGGAATAGTGAGTCGTATAGTAGTAGTCAACAGGTCAAATGGAAGGAATATGAATATACGTATGACATAGTTACGTAATAGTTATACAATAAGAATAAATATATTAATAGTCCACAAATAAATCCTAGAGGTTACTATTCACCTATTTTTCGTCCCGATATAACATATCCATGTATAAAACATTATCATCTTTATATTATATGTATTGAGTATTATTCTTAAATTGTTGATTATCTAGATATGAGAATGAGTATTAGTTATGTGGATACAAGTTCCAAAACTTTCATCCTAACATTATTGATCTATCAACTCATTTACCGGGTACAGATTTGTATGGTTGATTTCAAGTCATAATACGATTGTGAAAACTAGTTATATTATCCGGTTGCGCGAGTTGATATACGTAGAGCAGGGCTCGGAGTTTGAACTTGGACGCTGAAAATCGAACACTTTAGTCACTGATCTACTCTTGTGATCCTGATAATAATGCTTCATTAGACGTCAAAGTAATTACTCAATGGCTTATCGATTTTACATTTAACTTTGGTTACCCTTCGATGATTCTGAACACACTTATCTAATGAATGTCAGTGGGGATTTTCAGTGAATAAACTTAGTGACCTTGTTAGAATTAGATTATCTCTAGATGGCAGGTGACTAGTCAACATGATATTGATTATTGATAACTGGATTTTATTAAATGCATATAATTTTAAGTGCATTGCGATTTTGATATAAAATTAATAATTTAAATGGTTCATAGAACGCTATTGATTATTATTACTATTATTATGACATGTGTCATTCTTGTTGTATATCTAATTAATAGATATAATACGGTAAAATATGTGCCTAATTTTACCTGTTGAACTTAACAGTATAAGTAAAACACATGATGAATTAAGTTTATTTCAAATGGGTTTTAAAAATCAAGAAATAATTAAATAAGAAATTGTAGGTCATTCACTCGACATCAAGTCTGTGATAAGTGTATTTTGATACAAGTTGTTACAATTAACGCCAGTAGAATGTAGGGAAATTAACAGGATAAAAAGCAAAAGAATATAAATAGTCATCACAAATAGAGGATATGTAAAACTGGAATATTAATTACTGATAATAGAGAAATAAACAGACTGGACAACCGGCCTTAATGAATTTCATTCGTAGTTTTTAACCATTGGTTGCAGTTTCCTTTTCGAACTCGAACAAAAAATGTGCAGCTTTGTATATGGCTGAAAAAATATCAGTCATTGTCTCAATGAAGTGAACTCTTTTCATACTATGCTCTCTCAACTTCTCCTATACTCCCTTGGTTAATCATCATAATCCACTGAGGTAACCCATGTTTAAACATGCACATCATATCGTAATACTATTTAGTTTATGCAAGTTCACGATTTCATCAACATATTTTCACCTTTGTTGCTATACTCTGTTCCTGATATCAATATAACTCACTTGATAGTCTCATTGCATTCAATAAATACTTCAAAGATAGCTATGGTTGGATTCCTCCAACTGATGCATGTACTCCATCCAGATGAAACTGTGTTGTAGGTACTTAAAATAATAAAAGCTAAATTTTTTTTAGTATTCTTGCTCTCCAATTGGTAGTTGGGTATTTATCTGTACACCTGGTAGCACAAGTTGTTGTTACACATGTAGATGTAATGAAGCTTTGATTATATTTTTAGTATAGGACAAAATGGCATTATCGCTTTTTTAAATAATTTCGTTTGCTAATTAATATTCTCTTATTCTCGGATCTTTGTAAGTCCATTAAAATCTTTTTGACAATGTATTTAAATACATGTTGTTTTATTTAGTTTACTTGGGACTCCTCAGCAGTGCGTATCCACGATCCCGCATGTGGGACTCATTCTAGGACAAAATGCCCGTCCAGTGCTTTCAGGTTTTAAATAGTGATCTTACTTAGATCGGTTCATGATTTCAATGTAATTCAACAATCTTTATAACCCCATACTGAAATTTATGTGATTGTAGTGGATGAGAAATCAGGTGGGGAAACCATACTATAGATACTTCATTTGGAAATCTTCCATCAGTTGTCTTTTACAAACTTCACCGTTGCTTCATTCCTGCTATTATTAAAATTACTCTCTGTTTACATTCCTGTTCTCTTCAATTCGGTCTTCTCAACCTTCTTCTGCCAGGCATTCCACTTCTGATTGGTTTTGTGGTGTGGGCTACTTATATCTACTTATATATCGTGAGTCAGGAATAGAATATCTGGCAGCAGAAGGTTTAAAAGATCGAGAAGGGAAGAACAGAAACAGAAAGCAAATAGTGTGGAAACCGAGGAACAATGAAGCCTGAGACAATTAACGAACATCTTGCTAATGAAGTATCAGAGTTTGGTTTTTCCATTTTATCAAGCAACTTTGTAATTTGTGCTAAATACATAATCGATTGTCCTCAACTGCATTCTCATTCACTACATTTGGTGTCGCTGCCAACCAGGAAAGCAAAGAGTGGTGTTCTGCATACGCCGCTGCGTGCTTGGAGTTAAGGACTGTGCGGAGAGGTGACGTCGAGTGGAGTGCTCTGGCGAGTGGCGTTCGATGTAGCGAGTGCTGTCGACGGAGAGGAGCGGTGGGACTGAGACTGCTGGGCGGACATCGGATGTAGATCGCTCAGCAGGCCGGTGGAACGCGTGTGTTGAACGTCCCAGGTGCCGGGTAGATGTCGTATGTTGGTACCCCGGCAGGTCGACGGAGCTATGGAGGTCAGCGCGCCACAGACTCAACATTTTGACGGAGTGTGGCACAAACTGCATCAAAAGAAGAAAGTGGCACGGCGAGCAGAACCACCGTAAGAACGAATGCTTTAAAGGGGGATGAGTGTGGTGCGGGTTACGTATATCTACATAAGTAGTATATGGTGATGGTTAGGCATTGATTGTATTTCAGCAAAAGATCGATAAGGAAAGATCGGGAACGGAGTGCGATCTGTATGAAAATGCATAAATAACAATAATCAGAGACAATGGACTGATATTTGCCGAAGGAACGGTCAAGATTGAGACAATTGTTTGATAGTTTGCAAATTAGCTGTTTACTATATGGTTGCCAGATTTTAGTGAGATAGTCTGTAAAGTACGTGTCAAATACATTTGATTGTCCCCACTCGTTTTCTTGTTCACTACAGTGTTACATACTATTCATGTCTGTCAACATAAGTAGCATAAACCGCATGCTCACTAGTGATTAGATTCAAGAGAAAACTTCCAGCGTTCTAGTGAAAATTCGTGACCAGTGGCTATTAATTCGTGTCAGATGTGAGGCCGTTACTCACCGAAGACAGTGAAAGATGATCACGCGATGTCGTGGATTGAAGTTAGACATTAATGCCGTTGAGTTCCGATTGGTTGGTTTAGAGGTTAAGCGTTCTCGCGACACTGTATGCATTGGGCTTGCTTCTGACGTTCGGGATTGTGGATGCTCACTGGTGAGGAGTCTCATGCTGAGACGAAATGTCCTCCCAATGCTTCCAGGTTTTCAATAGTTGCCTAACCTTGGTCGGTTCATGATTTCAGTATTTTATGTTATTTAGTTTACTCGAGTAATTTAAATATTAATCAACTATTGATGTAATTTAAAGTTCTGTTTTCATAATATACTTTCGGTTGTTATTACATGTACGCCTTCAATTCAATATGCATTTTAGATTGATCCAGGTTTCGATTTATCTACTTTTCACAAACAAATGTCCGTTTTACGTGGTCAGGTTAGTTAATTGTTGATTGATTATTTATTGAAATTTGTATTTGGTGACTTAATTTAAGTTGAATTTGAAAAAGTCACCATAAATTGTGTTGATTGAAGACTGCTATAACATTGTTTCTCTCATGTTATAATGTGAATAGAAAAATGCTGAATTATGAGTGTGATTCCTTTTTTTCTTCACTCTGTTTATTTCTCTTTGTTTTTTCATGCAATATAATTATTAAGACTAATGAATTCGTCCATCTAAAAACTACTGACTTTTTTATTTTATTCAATAAAACTTCATTTTCTGTTGACTAAGTAGTTTGTTGTTGTTGCATATTTTGTCGAATCATTCGGGATCTTAAATGTCTATAATTCATGTATATTAATTTGGTAGTCCCATTTGTATTTTGTATTTTAATAGGACGATATTGATTGAGTCAATTATTATGATATTAACTTCTTCCATTATTTTAATTGACAGAAATTTTGTAAAGAAAAAAAAATCATTAGGTGTTCCAGCTGTAGTATTTACGTGTTTATGATGTTATTTCAGTCGCTAGCCTTTGAAAATACTGCTTTGGACAAATATTTTTTAAAGTGAACAGGGTCTATCTGTTTAAACAGTGTCAATGTTTATTCTAAGTAAAAGGATGTGCGTTATTGTTGGTAGTTTTATGGAATTTACAGAAATCGTTGTTTGTGCACACTCATTTTAAATGTATTTTGGAGTTATAAGGGATTTCTTGTCACTGTGTGTCGACAATTAACGAGATATACAGCTGCGCCAGTTTGTAGACTGCTGAAATGTTCTAAAAATTTCAGAGAAACCATATGGTGACACGTTTATAAGAGATGATCAGAAGTAGAATTGCTGAATAATTAAATGTTATAACCGCCAAATTCAACGTTTAATTAGGTTGTTGGAGGTAGTCGACAGAAAACCCTTCTAGACCCAGGTTTCGCACTAGCTGGGATTCGTCAGCAAAGTGGGAACTGATGCTCTGTGTGAAATCCGGATTTACATTGCCCAAGTGCATTGCTTAAGATATCGCCACTAAGCTATTCTGACTGCAGTTGGCCTCTCATAAGACTGAAATATCTACAGTTGATTGATGGAATTCAATCATCAGTAAAGAACTAAAGAAATATAATATTGGTCAATACTCCATGATCAATCAGTCTTAAATATTCGATCATAATTTGACGACTTCAGTTGTTTATTATTTCTAAATGTTATTCTACTCTGTTCTGATGATTATTAACTCAGTCTTCACATTTGTTCGGTATAAAATTCGTCCGAAGTTAATAATATTTTAATGTAGACACTGATTAGTAGAAAACCTATATAGTTATTTTTCCGATAAAATTTATGTGCTTCACAGTCACGGGGTAGGCTTTGTCTTCCTAATATTTAGAGACTGGGTCAAGAGTATTGGGAACACAGTATTGAAGATGTGTTCACCATTGCAGTGTGTTTTGGGTTGAGAAGTGCAAGTTATAGCAGTCCCATTTAGTTTCATTTCAGCTTATAACAATTTTCTTATCTAGCTTATAAACAGTAGCAACTGGTATTTAAGAAACATTGTCAATTGAAACATTGGAAATTAAGGTTTCAAAAACAAATAAAGTTAATGGGAGCCTTGGTGGTGCCTCTGCTACAGCATTTAGTCAGCCTTCTATGCGCTACACTACATTACCAACAGAACAAACCTTTAATGATATGTCGAAATTTTTCTTTAATCCTATTTTTTTAAAATTGCTTTTGATTCTTGATCCAAATGTTAGGAAAATTCGTTCAGTGTTGAACTTGCTGAATAAGTCGACGCATAGTAAATAAGACTACTACTACTACTACTACTTAAACTTGGTACCAGAAAACATGAAAAATACTTGAATTTTATATTGCCATACCGACCACGTGATCATAATTATAAACACTTGATAAAGTTATTGTCCCAAAATTTTGGAGACTAGTCTTGTTTTTTTAAAAAATTCACGACGTCAATATATAAAGCTAAGGAAACAAAAAGCTGATAACTATTAGCGAAAGGTGAGGACATTTTTGGTTGTAATTGCATACAAATGACAAATTTGTCTTTTTTTTGTCTGTCGACTACAGTCTATAAAAGATGTTGATATCCATTCATGTTTGCTGAGTAAAAATAACCAAGTATCTTATAACCTTAAAAATAGTTATTGCGGAATATCAACAACCGATAAATCCTAAATATCACATGGTAATGATGCAGCAGTCAGAACAATCCAGTGCAGTGCACACGTTCACAACTTCGAAACAATCACCCTCTTCTTGCATAGCAAAGCGGAGGTTGTAAAACATTTATAGTAATTCCAACGACAGGTATGTATCCAGTTGGCTAGTTCTGAATATAGAAAATTTAATTTCATGCGTTCCATGCTATCCATCACTAAGCAATGAATTTATTCTTAGAATTTCATCACCTTTACTCATATATATTTATATGATTTCATCACAGGTTGTGAATTTAGTTGCAGCTCTACGAGATTCAAAAAGTCCTTACGATCTTGTACGAATGCCAGTACTAACTTTAGAATTGTCCACTAAAAAACGTTCTACAAGACATCATTGGCCACACCAACAATTAGCAGCTGGTTTCGCTCAACATGATAACACACCTGAAAGTTCTAGATATCGTAATAATTATAATAACCTTACAATTGATGTCGATCCTACAAACAGTGTACAGATTAATCAAGATACAGTATCCACTGAAGATCAGACAAATAACTTAGTCAATTGTGATAATATAATAAATCTTGATAGCTGTCAACCGGATTTAAGTTCAAAACGTACACACGAAATTGATATTGTTTCTGCTGCTACTGGTAGTGGAGATGTTGATGACGATGATGATGCACTAGAGCATGGACTAGTTGCTTTACCAACTTTTAAAAATAAACAAATTATATCAAATAATAATGACAGTAAACAGACTGAAGTAGATCTAGCCGACAGTGCTGGTGATGATGCTGATGAAAATGATGAACAACGTTTTAATTTGCGTTATTACAAAAAACCCTTTTTCACTTGGTTTTAAAAATCTATTCTTTCCCTCATTTATCCGTTCACTAATTTTTAATAATGTTGTGTAAACAAAACAACAGATATATATATATATATTTGTCTTTCTTTTTCTAATCATTGACACATTGAAATTGTGTTGACAATCGGAAAAGAGAAAAAAATTTAATTTCCAACATTAATTTGTGACATTTTTCTGATAACCAATGATAATATATCTTTTATTAATTTGTCTAATCCAACTTCTCACTTTTTTAAATCCCTTTAATGTATTATTAATTTGTACTGGTTTGCTCTTTTGTTTATTCATACCCCTTTTTAAATACTCTTTTCAACTTAATTCTTCTTCTTCTTCTTGAACTTTGTACAGCTTTGATTCTATTTATATACATATTTTTGACAACGATTAAATGTAAGTTATTGTTGAGTTGAATAACTTTTGATATTGAATACATTAAAAAAAGTTTATGCGGTGTACATGGTAGTCGGATAAACTTCAGTGAATATATTAGGTGTCTTACTTGTTTCTAATTTGTGCAATTTTATGAACTCTCTCTTCAATGGAATGTATTTTGTTTTGTAAGACTTTTTTCTTTAGCTGCAGAATTTTACAATTTAATTATGAAATTTCCATAAATTAGATTAATTAACTAATTTAGGCTTAGAAAATTGTTTATTACGTTGACGATAATAATTTGCGTGGATTTAATTATCTTGAGAATCTTTCACTATTGTGAAGTGGCGTTTGTCTGCTTGTTTTCATCCTGTCTTATGCAATTCCAAATCGAAGATCACCTAAGTGATATGAAGTTTTCGAACAGTGTAGTCGTGATGGACAGGTGAGATGCAAGGTTGTTTGACAACTTGACGAAAATGTGCAAGTATGATACATCATTTGTCTACCAGTGGTAGTTGATGCCTCAAGATTGGTGTAGTGTATGATAGATGAATGCATTGATTATTCTTCATTTCAACTTTAATGGACTTCGTGATTGGGAAAATGTTAGTGGTGATACAAGATGCTGATTCGCCATCTAAGTGTCAATGTGGTTTTCAAACACCGAACGAGGCGATAGTATACAGTATAACTGTTTATCATGTATGCCTTGCGGTTGTTGAGCATGGGAATGTGGATTATAAAAATATTGCTAGTACTTGATTATATGTAAATTTGAAATATTCTTGACCCATAATAACACTTGTACGAAAGTGTTTGATTATTCGGTGTAGAGCTTTGGCTTAGGAGGATGTAAGCCTGTATTGACTGAAGTGTTTGAAACATGTAGTTCATATTCTGTGTCATCACCAGCTCTTTCAGGCGTTGAAAAATTGACAGAACCTTAAAATCTTTAGACAAGAATATTAGGTTAATTTGTTCAGTCAATGGGTATTTGACTAAGATTAATGGGAAAATTTTCTTTCTTCTGGATGGTACTTGGTGTTGTTGAAATTACATAAAGTAATAGAACTCAAAAAGTAATCGGTCCATGTTACGTTGCAGTACTGAAAGAAACTCATGTAGATGTCATAAAAAAACCCAGGGGAAAGTTGTTTTTAAGTGAATATGGATAGTAAATTGTACACAGTGATAAGATGTTCATTACTTATAGCAAGATAAATAATGACTATCTTCATCACACTGACAGATTTTGAGTCAAAGTAGCTAAATTCTTGGCTACTTTTGTTACTTAGCAAAAATTTTTGGAACACACTACAATTTATGACGTCATTGATTAGCGTTATGCCTTTGGTCTTTCCACTCTTAGCTCGCTTCAGCCTTTGTATGAATGACCCGTTGAAGCATGTTAGTGACTAAAAATATTTGATGTTTTCCTTGGTTACGTTAACCGATGGGAACTCATCTAATCTAAATACCTTCTATCAGAATCTACTACTAACACAACATCATCTTGCATAGATCTATAACGGAGTATTATTGTACTATCTTTCCTTCTGAGTGGTAATATTCTATGGCTATAAAATTATACAACGGTTACTCCTCTTCAGTTTAAGTATGTGGTGTGGGTTACTTATATCCACATAAGTAGTATATAATGATAGTTGGGCACTGAATGTATTTCAGTAGAAGATTGATAAGGAGAGAACTGAAACGAAACCTAATTGATATGGAAATGCATGAACAACGATAATCGGAAACCATGAACTGCTATTTGCAGAAGGAACGGTCAAGATTGAGACAATTGATTGATAGTTGGTATTATTTGTTGGATCTTCCCATTGATGTTTTAGGACTGCAACTGGTCAGTCTCTAATTGGCATATGTACATACTGTGCGTATCGCCTCGATATTGCCTTAATTCGCAAGCATGGTAAGCAAAGATGGATATTGGCCAGTAGTGGAATACAGGATGCGCGTTTCGTCCTATTTGGGACTCGTCAGCTGAATGTACCTGCATCCCAGAGTTGATGTTCACTCTGGGACTCGAACCCAGTACCTTTCGCTTCAGATGTCATCGCGTTATCTACTCAGCTAATGAGTCCTGATAGCCACTTGCTTGTGCAACGGGGTAAAGTTTAAATACACTTAATATTGTTTGTTTGAATCTTCTCATTGATGTTTAGGACTGCAACTGGTCAGTCCCAAATAGGACGAAACGCGGGTCCTGGATTCCACTGCTAGCCACTATCAATCTTTGCTTACCGATTGACTGATAGTTTGCAAATTGACTGTTTACTGTATGGTTGTCAAATTTCCAGTGAAATATTCTGTAACTTGTGCTCAAATATATTCGATTGTCCCCACTCGTGTTCTCATTCACTACAGGTGTTCTGGGATAGGTACTTTAATATATTTCATACAATAAATTTAGTATACATTTGTCAAAGACAAAGAAGTTGCCCAATTATTCTTGCTCTGCCGTTATTCGAACACAAGGATGGAATTTCGATGGTGTAATAAGAAGACGAAGATTATCAGAATTATGTAATATATTAGCGCAATACATTTCGAACAATCTGATCATATAGTTCTTATAATCTTCGTCTTCTTATCACACTATCGAAATTTATCAAAGGGACTAATTACTTTGAATTTCTTAAAACAGGGATGGAAGCTATTGGTAATGGTTACGAGTTCGCAATATCAAAGTTTAATCATAAACTATGGATTCTGTTTCCTTTTTTTCAGTTTTGTTTTATGCTAACCGTAAACTTATCTGTAGTAGTCTATGTTACTCATGCTTTTCTTATGGCTACGGGATATATTTCACTTAATTATTTACTTGACGTAATTGTCTTCATATAGTCAAACTTTAATAAACTAGACTCTGCAATTATTTTCAATTCATTCAAGTTGTTCGCATTTAAGATTGAACTGTATAGTTGGAAGAACGAAATAGTTTTTCTCTGTATTTGTGGTTATTTTTATTGTAAATATAGGTATATGGTATGGATCAACTGTGAATAATTTCAGTCTATAGTAATCAGTTACTGTAACTATAATCTGTTTCCCCCTATGTTTTTAATTTCATACCGTAGTGAACGAACACTCAGGTGGGGAAAACCAATTTATTCTTCAACAAAAAATTACTGAGTTCTTTCTTAAAATATGAAAACCATACATTAAGTACTTCATTTTCAAATCCTCCACCGATTTCCCTTTCCATCCTTCATGATTCTTCCAATTCTCAATTCCTTTATGTTTAACATTCTGTTTTCCTCAGTCCAATTTTTTCAACCTTTTGCTGCCAAGCATTCCATTTCTGATTGGCGTTACATGCTACTTATAATTATGTTCGTCAACATAACTAGCATACACCACAATACCTTTTGTAAGATTGTGATGTAAGATTTTATTCATCAACAACTGGAGATTCGTTATTTTTTTATTTTTGAATGTTGTCATGGCGAAAAATTTAATAACAATTCTCATACTGTGAGTTTTAAGCTTACGATTTATCTGCCTTCTACTGACTGATCTTTATTTATGATTCAGTAATATGAATTTTGTGGATTCATTTGCATAAGTTTATTGCTCAATATTTTCTGCTTTCGGTCATGGATCACATTAGAAGTCTGAATGTGAAATTTCTGCTTATAAATTATACTACTTAAATATTTTCGAGTAAAACGGTGCATTTTATTTTAAAAGAAAATAGTTATTTGTTGACATTGGAAGATGTGCCATCAGAAGCACGATAAAATCTCTGAACCATAAAACAGAAAGTATGAGGTAAAACACTGGGGTGACAGTTAAAGTCAAGATATTTACACAAAGGATTTATTTGATTTAAAATTCTCATGGTGCAGTTGAGTGTTTTATGTTTGGTAGTCTATGGAGTGGGACTAACGTTTCCATCTTATTGACTTCAAGAAGTAATTTGCTAAGCAAAGAAATGTATATTTGACTGGACCTTTGTTAGTTCTACTGCTAAAACTGATATTGATGTCTTCCAGTCTTTTACAGTTCTGACATCAATGAATTTATCATTTCTGGAAACTCCGGTAATAATAATAATAATTATTATTAATGGCTTTATTCAATATTATAATCTGGTACAATATAGAATTCCCAGCACGATTTACTTCAACAAGTTTTTTTACCAAAAAAAACAAAGTAAAAAAAAGGTTTAAGAAAATCTGAGTTTATACAAATTATCGAATTTGAGACATGCTTAAGAATACAGGTTATTTACTAGGTCAACTCTAACAGCCTGTTCGTCACAAAGTATATTTGCTAGGTAAGGTATTACACAACTTTTATAGATTTGCTTGCGTGCATAGAATTTAATGTATTTACGTCTCGTTCTACCAGAAGATATACAAGGAGAAAGATATGAATGAAGAGGATGGTTAGTATCTGATAAGATAACACCTGCCAGGAGTTTGCAAGACTTAAGATGTCTATCCACAACCATATTAAGAATGACCTCAAAAGATTCACCACACACATTGCTAACTGCCTTCAGCACTCTCCGCAGTACAGCAAAGTAATTTCTCAAAAGCCCAGGAAAGAATAGTTGTGAGCAGTAAAGAATAATAGGTAATATGAAGAAATTGACAAATTGTAAGAGTAAGCGGCAAGTAATGCCAAAAGCATGCAGTCTGTCTATGTATTAAGTCAGAGGGTAAACTTTTTTCGACAACAGTAAAACATGGGAAGACCACGAGAGATCAGAGGAAAAAGTAACACCAAGATAATTGACCTTCGACACTGTGTTTATCAAGGAGTCTCCAATGGCACAAGCATTATGGGGTCCCAAAATAGTTTATAGGTTATGTCTGTCTCAGGCTAAAGTTAACAGCTTGACATTTAGATGGATTAAATAAGAGACCATTACCAACAGACCACCTTTCAATACGAGACAAAAACTCGTTCATTTCTATGGGATATGAAGAGGTAGAAATTGGAATACATACAATGAGTTCGTCCGCATATTTCACAAAAGTGTTTTCTGTAGAAGATGGCAAATCATGCAGAAAAAAGGTGAAAAGGAAAGGTGAAAGAAAAGCTCCTTGTGGAACACTTTCATTAGACAGAAGAGACGCTGAACACTTTCCTCCAAACCCAGTGTACTGTTCTCTTCCAGAAAAGTAGGAACATAGCCAATTGGTTATTCAGTTGTCAGTGTTGACGCTGATCAGCTTGTTAAGTAATAGGTGTCTTGGGATAGAATCAAAAGCAGAAGTATGGTCCAGAAAAGCGCATCGAACATACTTCTTACCCTTTTCCAACCCGAACACTATATTGTGACGCGGAACAGCAACGGCATCTAATGTGCTTCTTTTGCATTTGTAAGCAAACTGATATGGATCACTGTGCTCTTTTATTTCAGTTTAAAGCTGGAGTATCAATAATTTTTCCATTATTTTGAGGAAAGGTGAAGTTATTGCTATGTATCTAAACTTCACATTTTTATCACCAGATACTTTCTTAGGTATAGAGATTATCTTTATCTTTCTCCACATTTTCGGTATGAAATTAGTTGAGAAGGATCTGTTAAAGATATTCGTTAATGGATAACATAGAACATCAGCAAATTTTTAAAAAGGAGGTTTGGGATACCATCAGTTTCTAAACATTGGGATGAATTAAGTGATTGGAGACATTTTCGGACATCATTTTCAGTGGAACTAGGAACACAATTATTCTTTGTACCTGTAGATATGGGGAGCATGAAATCAGATGACTGACGTAAAAAAGACTTATTTAAGTCACAAACATTCAGCTGGTTATCGCTTCTAGTCTTCCTGTCCCCTGTAATTTCTCTAGAGAGTTTCCACATACTTGGAGAGTCTTTACAAAATAGGAGTTTCTGAGTAAACACACAGTTGAGACTTCTAATCTCTAGGTTTATTTGATCATTTAACTTACGAACGTCAATAGTGTTTTTTCTCTCCTTGTACATCCTTTCTTTTATCCTCCGTAGTCGTTTTAGTTGTGGATATGTAAGTCGATC